CAATGAAAGGCCTACGGGAGGACTTCCAGGAAACACTGAACAAAACCCAAGAGGAGCTCACATCCAAGCTATTACCACTAGAAGCAGAAAAATTATCACTCATTTAACACCCATAGACAGAAACAACTCGGACGGGGAGAAGGAGGTTCAAGAAGAAACTCAAGGACATGGTTCTGAATAATCCCCACAACTTGGTACAAATGCCACGACATAGACAGAAGTTGAAAAGAAAAATGATGAACCCGTAAAGCCCTACCGCCCACCATTGCCATTCCCCAGTAGAGCAATTCAAGAGAAGCATGCTGAATACTATCAGAGGTTTCTAGAACACATAAAGTCTCTTGAAATAAATATTCCATTCCTTGAGGATTTAATGGAAATGCCAAAATATGCCAAGTTCCTCAAGGACCATATAACAAACCGGAAGAAAATGGAAGGACTATCAAAGGTGGTATTAAATGAAACTTGTTCCGCTGCAATGCTAAACATGTTACCGAAAAAGATGGGAGATCCGGGAAGCATAACCTTATCGTGCCAATTCGGGAATCTAGCAACTAGTCATGCTCTAGCCGATTTGGGAGCGAGTGTTAATTTGATGCCCTATTCGTTTTTCAAGAAGCTTGATCTCCCCGAACCAAGACCGGTCCTTAGGGCCATACATTTAGCCAACAAAACCGTGACCTTCCCAAGGGGTATATGTGAAGACTTGCTCGTAAAAGTGGACAAGTTTGTCTTTCCTGTGGATTTCATTGTACTAGATATGGAGGAAGACGAACAAGTACCAATCATCCTTGGAAGGCCCTTCTTGAGCACCGCCCGAGACTTAGTGGATATTAGAGAGTCTAAACTCACTCTCCGAGTAGGAGAAGAAGCAGTCACTTTTGGGGTTAATCGGGCAATTCAACATTCAAGAGCAAGTGATGATACGACCTTTTTTGTCGATGTGCTTGATGAATTATTTGAAAAGGAGCTAGGAGGATGGAAGGAAAAGGAAACCGAGGGATTTATGGTGCTTGAAGAAGGGGATTTGATGCCGAATTAGATCTGAAAGAATTAGAGAAGCTATTGGAAGAAAGTGAATATAATGAAGTAATAAAAGAGGCAGAAGAGGCAACACGACGTAGTGAAAACAACACGCAGTGGTAAATTTTTTTTTCGCAATTTGACAATAAAAGTTGCGACACCACGACGTGGCAAGAAGCCCACGGCGTGGTGACTGACGAAAAGCCAAAATTAGAGCTTAAAGCCTTACCCGATCACATGGAGTATGCATTATTGGAGGATGGGCAACAAAAACCAGTAATTATAGCATCCGATCTAGCTAAACATGAAAAAGAAAGCCTCGTGGGAGTACTAAAGAAAAGACAAGGTGCCATAGCATGGAAGATAACCGATATCAAGGGGATTAGTCCAACCTATTGTTCTCATAAGATCAACCTAGAAGAAGGAGCTAAAACCATAGTTCAACGCCAAAGAAGACTTAACCCAAATATGCAAGAAGTGGTTAAAAAGGAGGTGGTTAAACTTTTAGATGTTGGTATCGTTTACTCAATCTCCGATAGCCCATGGGTAAGTCCAGTACACGTGGTTCCGAAGAAAGGAGGAATGACGGTGGTTACCAATGAAGATAACGAGTTAATCCCAACAAGAACAGTAATCGGATGGTGCGTTTGCATCGACTATCGGAAGCTTAATGATGCTACATGCAAGGATCACTTTCCGCTACCATTTATCGATCAAATGCTCGAAAGACTATGCAGATATCTTTTCTATTGTTTCCTTGACGGTTTCTCGGGGTACTTCCAAATTCCGATTGAACCACAAGGCCAAGAAAAGACCACTTTTACTTGCCCAAGTGGGACATTTGCATATAGACACATGCCTTTTTGGTTATGCAATGCACCGGCTACATTTCAAATGTGCATGATGGCTATCTTCCACGACATGATCGAGAAATTTATGGAGGTTTTCATGGATGACTTCTCAGTTTTTGGGTCCTCTTTTGAAGATTGTTTAACCAACTTAGACCTAATGTTAGCAAGATGAGAGAAGACAAATCTAGTCCTAAATTGGGAAAAGTGCCACTTCATGGTAAAGGAAGGGATTGTGTTAGGACACAAAGTCTCAAGGTTGGGGATAGAGGTAGATAGAGCATGAGTTGACACGATAACTAAACTACCACCCCCAACAAATGTAAAAGGGGCAAGGAGCTTTCTTGGACATGCGGAATTTTATCGTCGTTTCATTAAAGACTTTTCGAAGATCATGAGGCCTTTGACTCAACTTCTTTTAAAGGATGCCCCATTCGACTTTTCTAAATAATGTCATGAAGCTTTTCAATTGTTAAAGGAAAAGTTGACCACTACCCCTATTATGATAGCACCAAATTGGAGCCTTTTTGAGCTCATGTGTGATGCTAGTGACTATGCGGCGGGAGCTGTTTTGGGCCAAAGAATTGACAAACATTTTCAACCTATCTACTATGCTAGCAAAACCTTGAACCCAACTCAAGAAAACTACACCACTACTGAGAAGGAGCTGCTCGCGGTGGTTTATGCTTTTGATAAATTCCGCCCATATCTAGTCTTATCAAAGACAATTGTATTTACCGACCATTCTGCCCTTAAGTATCTCTTTGCTAAACAAGATGCTAAACCAAGACTAATATGTTGGGTATTACTTTTACAAGAATTTGACATTGAGATTGGAGACAAAAAGGGAACAGAAAACGTAGCAGCTGATCACTTATCGCGACTAGAGAACCCGCACTTGGAAGAATTAGAAGAAAACAAGATTGGAGATGATTTTCCCGAAGAGTATCTTATGGTTATAGCAGGAGAAATAACTTGGTATGCAGATTTAGCCAACTACTTAGCAAGTGACTATATTCCAAAAGATTGACGAGACAACAAAAGAAGAAATTCTTTTCTGAAATTAAGTATTACTTTTGGGATGAGCCATACGTCTTTCGAAGCTGCGCAGCCGGTATGATAAGAAGATGTGTATTCGGGAAGGAGAGTCGAGAAATCTTGAAACATTGTCATAGCGGGCCCACCGGAGGACATCATGGAGCACAATATACGGCTAAAAAGATTTTTGATATGGGTTTTTATTGGCCTACAATTTTTAAAGATGCCACTCAATATATCAAGGAATGCGATTCATGCCAAAGGTCGGGAAATATTTCATCCCGAAACGAGATGCCCTAAAATAGCATTCAAGTTTGTGAGATATTTTATATATGAGGGATTGACTTTATGAGACCTTTACCAATGTCCAAAGGAAATAAATATATATTGGTGGCGGTAGATTATGTATCCAAATGGGCGAAAGCACAAGCGGTACCTTCTAATGATGCGCGTGTGGTGGTGCGCTTCCTTAAGAAGTTGTTTTTGAGATTTGGTGTTCCGAAAGCTCTTATTAGTGATCGGGGCACTCACTTTGCAAATGAGCAATTGGCTAAGGTGTTGCAAAAATATGGTGTACACCATAGATTTTCAACATCATATCATCCACAAACAAGTGGGCAAACCGAAGTTACAAACCGGGCATTAAAACGAATATTGGAGCGGTCAGTTGGAAGCAATAAAAAAGAGTGGTCAGACAAGCTTGATGACACACTTTGGGCATTTCGAACAACTTTTAAAACACCTATTGGGACCACACCATATAGGGTTGTTTATGTAAAGAACTGCCACTTACATGTTAAAATCGACCATAAAGCATTTTGGGCCTTGAAGTTATGTAATTTTGAACTCACTAAACTTCGTGCCAACCGATTGATGCAATTGAATGCCCTTGAGGAACTAAGGAATGAAGCATACACTAGCTCCTTAATATATAAAGACAAGACTAAGAAATGGCATGACATGAGACTAAAAGGTCATAAGGACTTTCATGAAGGACAAAAGGTGTTACTTTTCAATTCAAGGGTAAAACTTTTTCTGGGCAAATTACAAACCAGGTGGGACGGGCCTTTCGTAGTTAAACAAGTTTCTCCACATGGATCTATTGAGCTTTTATCAAGAGATGGAACCCATTTCAAAGTTAATGGGCATAGAGTGAAGCATTATGAAGAAGGTTTACCAATTGAAGAAAAAGAGGGGGAAATCGTCAAATTCACGCGAGCTGAAACCACGTAAAGCGGGAAGGAGTCCGACTTAAGACTCCCCAAAAAGAAGCGCTTGCAGGAGGCAACCTGTGATTTTGAGTTAGCATTTTTCTTTCCTTTTCTTTTATTTTCCTTTATTTTTCTTTTGTTTGTTTATGTTTTATTTATGTTTTATTCTCTCATTCTTCTGATTTTCTATGGAATTCGACGTGGGGTATGGCATAAAACAAGTGTGGGTGGATACTTTTAATAAATTTTTGACACAAACAAATTTTTTTTTACCCACCACGAGGTGGTGTTTTGGCAGTTAACAAAATACCGGGCATAAATAAAACAACACGAGGTGATGATTTTAACACCTCGTGGCGACGAAATAACTGCATTAAATTTAGGGTTTTTAAACTTAAGTCAAAACACTTTCACATTTTTACACCGCCTCTCTCTCTCGTCGCGAGCCTACCCCCACGAAGAACTCACGTTTTCTTCCTCCGATTTCTAGCAATTTTAGACTAAAAGGTATGATTTGCTTGTGATTTCCTTGCTCTAAATCACTATTTATGTTAGTATAGGGTATATATTTGCTGATTAGAACACATTTAGGGCCAATGTTAGGAGCTTAGGGTTCCGATTTTTGCGAAAATCGGACCCGATTTTGGTTTTTTCCCCCTCGATTTTGTTACCATTCTACTCTGTATTATGCGTAGAACAAACCCTGAAGTTGTATTGAGTTGAAATGGTATGGATTAAGGACCGATTTACCAATAAATCCGGACAGTACGTCGACCACGACGACTTGTCGTGGTGGGGTATTTTAAGGCCTGTTCTGTTATATTTTGGTTGTAATATTGCACATGGTTCTTTGTGTGTTCTTTGTGGTTATTTTGTAGACATGGCCAGCCGACCAAGAAGAAACCAACCCGGGAGTCGCTCCGACTTTCCGTGGTACAATTTTCCACAAAATGTTTGGCCCGAGATTTACACAAGATGGAATGCAAAGGTTGATTGGCTAAAGCAACGAAAAGTTCATGTGCCTACAGTGGTCGATTGGCAGTGGATTAGCGAAACCGGATTGTTGGAAGCAATTGAACCTTATCTTGATAAAACGTGTGATGGAATTCATGGGAAATTTCTTTGTCTGGGGTGGAGACGGATATTCCACATTCAAGAGATCGTGTACAAGGAACTAGTCATCAAGTTTCTAGCCACAATTTCTTTTGCACGGAAGGATGGCATTTATGCTGACAACAACCTCACTTTTTGCCTCGGCGGCGAGAGGCGCACTCTTAGCCTTGCGGATTTTGCACTAAGGACGGAGATTTACCTTCCGTCCGAAGTTCATTTCGAACCTTATCAAAAATATATTGCAGGTTGTGTGAGAAATACAGATGGGTTTAAAGCAGAAACGCATTGGAATGCAATTGCAAATGGAGTTTATGATAAGGGAACTGCGCAAGAGAGTGACATCCGCTCTCCTGTCCATAGATTGCTGCACCGCCTAATCACCAACACTATTAATCAATGACAAGAAGGGGATAAGTGCCCAACTATAGACGTATTTTTCTTATGGGATCTTACTTCCGAAAATACTCATGTGGACCTGCCATTTCTGTTGGTGGATTTTCTTGAGGTCCGAGTGGGAAAAGATAGGCGAGGGTCTCCGTTATATGGTGGTATGTTGATTACCTGGCTTGCGGGTTTGATATGGCAGACTTGACAAACGCGAAGCCATGATGTTGACTGTGGAGCCACAAAACCCCTTTTCTACACTTCTTTATAAGAGGGCGGATATTGTTGTTGATCATGGATTTGGTAATTTTGGTATTCCTGATGACACTCCACGAGGCCGAGTACGACAAAGGGGAAATGAACCTGAAGGAGAGGAGCCACCAGTTATCCCAACCAATGATAAGTTTCCCATGGATCCCTATGGCATTGCTAGGAGAAGGTTTGAAGATAACTTGGCAAGGGGTTCTAATTACACCAATATGACTTTAGATCATGTTATGGTGCAAATGCATATCACACGACCCACTCATTTCCCCGAATCATATCCTTACATACCAAGTTGGGAGGAATTGTGGAGAGAGCAACAAGGTGGAACGGGCGGTAGTGGTGGAGGAGGTGATGATGGAGAAGACGAAGATTGAGAGTTTTATCCTTTTGATTTAGTGGCTTGAAGACTTGTTTCTTTATCATTTTTCTTTTTATGATTGTTTTTTTTGGTGTGGTTTTTTTTGAACACTTATTTCCTTTTGGTTTTCGTTGTTTGACGAATGTTTCCTTCTTTTATTACTTTTCCTTGTTTTAGTTTCAGGGTATTATTTTAGAGTTCAAGTAAGGGTATTAGTGGCAAAAGAAGGTTCTTTATAGAGCACGTTTAGGAGACGACGAGAGAGGCGAGATTTGAGCAATTTTTCGGGTGTTTATTTGAGTCATTGAGTGAGGAGTCACGTCCAACAGCTTCATATGTTACTTGGTGCCACTTATATTTCTAGAATCAGTACATTCGGGCACAAAATTTTGTAATTTCAAGACCAACACGACGTGGTAATTCCCACCACACCGTGTTGTCGCAGTCAGAACACCTCAAAATTAATCTGTTTGATTCACCAAGAGGTGTTGATATCCACCACGGGGTGGTGCCTCTCGAGTCCATTTTACAAGTCTGATCTCGTACTTTCAGAAGTCTAGGTGTTCGAGAGTGGCATTTATAACTTTATATTCAATTTCATGGTCTGGATGAGCTGTTCCCACACCTTGGAATTTTATTATCATGAAATGCTGACGAATTGTCCCGGCTGCCACGACATGGTTGACACTTTCCTTTGTCGTGGGAGAGTTTCTCATCACATTACGAGGATGCCATTCTACTTTCCAATTCCACTTCAACACTTTCACGCAACCTACTTTACTGTGACAATCTGAAATTTTTATCTTATACACTTATTCAAATCAATGAAGGTTAGACTCGTTTTTGCTATTTTCTAGCACTATTTAGAGTCAATTAGAATGTTTAAAACCTAGTATAATCAAGGTATGAGTCGTGGGATGAGTTTTGTGAGTGTAACACCTTGAAAATGAGCCAAACATTCCAACATATGGAGTGTGCGGCCACACACAAGAGTGTGAGACCACACACCTATCCCAACCGCACACTCTCCCATATATATTCAACACTTGTCATTTTTGAACACTTTTTCACTTCTTCAAGACTAGAACTCGAAATCCTCTCAAGTATCATCCAAAACTTCATCTTGATCTTCATAAAAGGTAGAAATTCTTTCTTTTGATTGTTGATACATGACCTTAACTAGCAAAACCCTTTGCTTTGATCCATGAAAACACCTATTTGGTGTTAGAACACCAAGAACACACACTAGTTTTGGACCTTAATCACCCTTTCAAGCCTCTATAACGTGTATACACTTATCATAACCTGTTATATGCTAAGAACACTTGATGATATACTAGAAAAACACGATTTTATCATCTTCATAAAGGGTGTGTGGCCGCACACATCATGGTGGCCGCACACACCCTTTTTAGGTCCAAAAATGGCAATGAACTCCATATAAGGCTAAAGCATGAAGTAAGAAACTTTCCTAGATGAGTCCTAAAGCCTTAAAACACGTTTTGGCACATTTCATAGGGAGTGTGCGGCCGTACACACACCCTGGCCGTATACCCTGGCCGCACACACACAAATAGTGTGCATTTTGACCATTCACTGCCTTGTATAGCCATATACCCCTTATATACAATCATATATAGTTGTAACACTTCAAAATAAGTGTTTACTAGTCCCTAAGGTGGTTTCAATTCAATAATTAGTTATTATAAGCACTAATTATATTCATATATGTATCATTATATGTTAAATAGGATCCGCATGTGTGTTCAAGTCTTCACTTGACACTTAGCATCCTATACCATCCGTTCATCCAAACCACTCACTACAGATGAGTTCATACCCCTTAATTATAGTTATTATATCAATCACATGTGATTAATAACTAACCAAACAATTGGATTTGTTACTTTTCAAACTGTGTTACCAAACTATTTTACTTCAAACTGTTTTACAAACGCTTTTACATACCAAATGCTTTTACTTAAACTCTTTTAAAACTTATATTCTGTTAAAAGTGTATCTATATAGATATAGTTATATAAGTAGGATTGAAAGGACTTAGGACTGATAGCTCACCTTACTTCATGTTCCTTGTTTGGTTGTGGACTTAGGGTATTCAGGTTATTTGTCCGAAGGTCGTTTGAATCCTAGTTATATATTATGTATATGTATATAGGTATAAAGGTTCCATCTTTCATTCAGTTCAATACCTTTGGGTAGCAAAGGTATTCACACATGTTCATACATTCAAACAACATTACTAGTAAGCTATAATAGGTATAGTTTAGGGAGGTACTAATACTATTACTAGAATAGTGAAACAAACAAAGAGTCAGTTCATACATGAGTCATAACATATTGATAGAGACTACTATGATGAGAAACAAACAATACCATACAGAGAGAACATACATAGATGCTAGACAGGGAGAGAACACATAATACAGCTAGCAAATACATATACAAGAAAATTACTACAATTATGTGAGCCACGTAACGGGGCGTGGAATCACCTGTCATGGCCCGTTTTGTATCCAGAATCTCCTTAAGTGGGGAGCGTTTGAGTTTGTGTATAGATCTATACTAGATTGACTATCCTACACCTTGCTGCTCGCTACAGTGGGACTTCCAAGTCTACGGGTGCCAAACGTCATTTCTTCCGACGTCTTACATCGTCGTGTTTATAGTCGGTAGCAGGATACAGGCCGATCACATGGTACTTTAAATAACAATTGATTTAAGGTATTTAGTACAGCAGTAGTTACTTAATACAACACTACAGTACTATTTCATTTTCCCATTGCATTCAATTTGTGATATTCACACAATAAATAGTAATGTAAAAACTATATTTTTGGTTAATGATAGTCAGATTTGGGAAAATACATACTCTTACAAGAGATACACACACAGATACTAGATGCCTTGGTAGAAGGCTACTTTAAGTAGAAAACATAGGGTTTTCTAGGAGAGTTCAAACAATTACAAACTTTTACAAACTTATACATCACATACTTACAAACACTTTCATACAAATATAGACACTAAAATACTTATGATCCCACCAGCTTTAAAGCTGATAAACTCTTTCAAAATAACTTGTATTCTCAGGTCACCAGTAGACAGGTACCGGTGCCAGGTTTTGAGAAGATAGAGCTCGTTCAAGACTCATCTTTTATTTTGATTCATATTTTTGGTATCTATTAAACGTGACAGAACACACTTGCATTAAATTATATTATTAATGAAATGGATGATGTTGTTGCTTGTTTACTACTTTGCATTGTTGTGATACTGTACATGACGTCCTCCACCCCCGAACGTTTCCGCCGTTCCGGTTTTGGGGTGTGACAGATTGGTATCAGATCATTGTTTATAGTGAATCGAGTGTATCAACCCATAAAAGATATACGAACTATAAACACAATGGGATTAAAATACTCTGATAAACAGTTTATACTTTTAAATAATAAAATATTTAACTAAGTATACATGCCTGCATTCATACTAAAATCAGTGTCACTAGGACAGAACAAAAGTATTTCGATTGTTGGGCAGCACAAGTAGACTTAGAGACATATGGTCAACCCTGGGAAGATATAGCCTGATCAACTATATTATCCGAGGAGTGATTAGCATGCGCCTAAGTGTGGTTGTGAGGTTGCAACAAGTCTAAAAACTTACCAACACTACTACAAAGAGAACAGTAGAACAGAACATAAACTTAAAATACTATAGGAGTATTTTGTGTTACTATAATTACTTATCTGAGAACTAAAAAGGTCTTTATTAGTATGTCAATAGTTGCGGGGTGGATACAATAAGGTTATATGTAACTAGGATGTCATAGACTTAGAATCTGTGATCTTTGCTTTACTTCCTGTTCCTTGTTTGGTTTTGGGCTTAGAGTTAGGGTCACTTATTCGAAGGTCTATCCTGTCTTGGTTACATATAACTGGTATGCACTACGCAAATGTTGAAGTAACTGATAAAGATCATCTTATAATTATCTAGATAGTTCGTCTATTAATTATTTCTTCATCCCTTTTCTCGCGTAGATAGAATGGCTGGATTCCATCTTCCCGGAGACCCGTACTATCCCAACCACGGCAACGCAGGATTGCTTGGAGAAGAGCCAGAAGATGATCACCCAATCCCATTGGATGATCACGAAGCTGAAGGCTTTTCTGATGATTCTGACTCGGAGCCAGAAGTCAACAACCTACCCCCAGCTGCTCAAGACCCAAACCTGAATCCTCGTCCAGCATTTCAAGGACTCACACCTTTGTGGGCCACAAACTTGAATAGATTGAGTTAGGAACAGGGCCAACCCACGCCCTACAATGGAGATAGAAGCTTCTACAACCTCGCTGAGGGAGGTTCAGCTGACA